AAATAATTTTTTGATTCGAGCACTCTATATATTTTTTTTGTTATGGGGGGGCAGCTTAATGTCAAGCTGCCCCCTTCTCCCCACTTTGAACGTGAATTCTTGCTAAACGGTAGGAGCAACAAAATCCGGACTGCGGCAACAAATTAGCACATAATTAGCATTAAATTAATTGTTAGGTGCGACTTGATTTGACGATGGTGGGGTGCAGCTTAATAGGGATATAACTTTCAAATCGAAATCAATCCTAATGAAATCCTAATGAAATTTTGCATGAATATTTATTAGTTTTGTTGATGCACATAAAACACATAATCTGATAGTTCTTCTTTCTCAAATTTGTTAATAAATGTTGCAATACGACAATTCCCATGAGAACCAATGTAAATATGAAAATTAAATAACTTTCAAACTGATGAGGAAACTGTGTCTAGATTTTGCGCAGAAATTCAAAGTAAAAACAATCTATGTTTTAACAAGATACGCTTCATTACATAGGTTATCTACACAGTGCCAGAATGTATAGGGCTTAAATGCAGTTGCGCGGATGCAAAAACTACCTTGCCTGTGCCGAAAGTGAAAGCAATCCGAGTGAAAGAAAATATTATTATAAATTGGAATGTTACGTCAAACAGTTCTTACATTCAATCTTATGTAATTGGGTAAAATCTTTTCTTTAATTGTTGCATTTTCTTATCATTTTCTTCCAATTAATATGTAATATTCTAGTATTGGTATGCCGTCATTGATATCAAACGCAGGATATTCTGTGTACAATATTACGAAGATAAGCAATGTGATTGTTACAACGAATACCTTTACTTGGGATTGCAAGATTAACGATCAGTATGTAAAAGTGGAAAATGGATACAAAATATTGGTCGCAGCAACCGATTATCGAGGCTGCTCAGGAATTCAAGGAGACTTCACAATTGTTAATACAGATGAAACAGAAACATTGAGGGGAAAGATCATTGTATGTATCTTTTAACATGTTGACTGTTATACGACGTACCGGCCGTCGTATCGATATCACTTTTCTTAGGCAATAATATATTTTGTATTAATATCACGGATATACGATAAATAAATATACGATACCTATATTTTATACTAATATAAATCGTTTTATCGTATGGCCTAGTATTAAAAAACCTAGTACTATCAGGGTGTTGTATGGTCCAAAACATGAAAGAAAGTTTTAACATTGCTGGTAGGCCAATGTTAAGGTTTTAAAATATATGAATTGGCAATTATAATTATCTCTCGATCGTTCAGAAATAAAAATACAAACACAAATTGTGAAAATCCAAATTGTGAATCCAATGTGGTCAGACAGATGTGTCAATCAGACAATCAAACAATAGATTTTAGATGAAACTTTTTCAGAGAGATTTACGAACTTTAATTTGAAAATTACGATGTAATTTTTATATAATTTAAAAATAGAAAATAACTTTAGGTAATAAACTTTAGGTAAAATATATTAAATTCAAAAATAATTCTTATCATTTAATTTCAATGTAATATACAAATTAAGATTTCAGAATAAAATAAATTTTATTTTGCATTGTATCAAAATAATACTTTTTTTCTTAATATATTTTCTTAATATATCTTCTCAATTCCAAACTTTTTATGCTAAATTCAAAGACTAAAATTTGAAGACTATAAAAGCTCTTAAAAATCCAGTTTAATGAGAAAATAGTTTTTTCATATTTGTGTACGTCTGTCATATTAAATTTGAAAATTTTTATGAAAAATTTTAACTGAGCAACTTCAAAACAAATGTTAAATTTTGCGAAAATCTTTCAGATTAAAAATGCTTTTTTAATGTATATAAGTATATATCATTAACACTGGTAATCAGTTTTCAAATGAGACATATAAGTATGTATATATATATATATATATATATATACATACTTATATCAAATATATACATACTTATTTCAAATTATATATATATATATATATATATCATTAACATTTAAAAGATTAATGCACGTGATATAAAATTAATATAACTTTGTTGTAGTGGCTGCTGCTTATTGGTGTTGCTATTTGTATTATATTAGGATTTGTCAGTATCTTGTTAATACGTAATAAGAATGGATATCAACTCGTATGGCCATCCGGACCTTCACGGTACAATAATTTCGAAAAGATAAATGGGATTTGATTAAAATATGTATCATTAATAGTTCTACTTCAACAGAATATTAATGATATATAATCCTTTTTATAAAATTCGACATTTTTAAAAAATAAAACATAAATTGTTCAAATCCTCCTATTACGGCTTTATGATTGAGTAATATTTTGTTTTTTTTTAAATCATCACCATAAATTTCTCTTTTTGATAAAGCCCTTTTTAAAGACCAAATTAATTTTTCTATCTGATTTAGTTGCACTTTATGTCCCAATTTAAATTTAAAAAAGTCACAATTTTAAAGATCCCTGATTGTTTACTTCTGCACAAAATATAAACAATTTAATAGTCAAAGAACATTGAAGATTTATTAAAGATTTATTAAATGGCATAACCGGAAATATATTTTATATCAATTTTATTAACGATTAATTTTTAATTCATATTAGCAATTTTATATATGGTATTAATCTATATAATGTTTTTTGACAATTTAATATTATAATTAATAATATTATATGTTTAAGGTCTATTTGTAAACAAATAATGTGTAAACTTTTTGCTTGTAGGCTGGCTAGATGGCCACATTTGGTCTTTCAGAGACGCAATATTGGTATATATGTGGAACCGAGAACTGAGGTTAGTGATGAAAAGATCAAATCATTAAAGATAAATTACAAATTTCATAAAGCTGCTTATTGCAGGAAATATGTTACAAAGCGCAAATTGACAAATATGAAGTGTCGTACAAATGTATAAATTTTAAATATGAATTAGGAAAAGGACAATTTGGTAAAGTGTACTTAGGCAGTCTAAATAATAATCAAGACACTTTGGTAGCTGTTAAAATGTCACAGTGTTTCGACGAATCTAACGAACTTGAAGTTAGACGTCAACTATTAGAAGAAATTAAGATAATGAAAGCAGCCGGTTCTCATCCGCATTTAGTGAACCTTATAGGTTGCTGCACTTTACCGGATAATCCTATATGCATACTTTTAGAATATATGGAAGGTGGAGATTTACTTGCATATCTCCATTCTAAAAGAAACATTGAAACGGATGACATATCTTTGTGTAACTTTGAAAAAGTTATGTCTGAATATATAAATATTGTTAAGCTGAATAAAAATAAGGATGTAGATTTATGTGGCACAATTGAAAAACAACAATTTATGAAATTTGCGCTTGATATTGCTAGAGGAATGGAGCATTTAGAAGCCAAAGGAATTGTACATAGAGATTTGGCAGCAAGAAATATTCTTCTCACCTCAGATCTAACACTAAAGGTAATGGATACTTGTATTAGGGTCGGCTGTTCCAACTTCTTTCAACTTACCTATTAAATATCAGTAATCCTTACGCGGTATTCCAACCATCGAGTAAGGATTACTGATATTTATCAATAGGTAACTGACAGGTAAACCTACTAAGGTGGAACAATCGGCCCTTAATGTTGTGTGTATGTCTATATATTTATTGTTTGGGAAAGAAAAGTAGTATTCCGTGACTTTTTTGTGCTGAATCCAAATTCAGTATCAAAAAGTACATATTACATCAAAATTTTGAAAAAAATTCGAAGAAAAACACGAAAAACGACAGTTTATGATTTTCCAAAGAAATATTTGTTTTAGTTTTATTTACGTTATCTTAAAATAATAATTTCTTTTTTTTTAATAGATTTTATTTCGTTTTTTTTTACTGATTTGAATTTTAAATTCGGTTTATTTATGATAAAAAAATAAGAAAAAAGAAAAAAAAAAAAACAGTTCTGATGCATATTTTTGTATAAACAGATTTTTTTATTTTATTATTTCATGCTTTTTCTCTGTAAGATATGTTTGTCATGAATTCATTAAGATAGATCATTTAGTCACATGAGAGTAACAGTAATTCTATTCAATATTAACCCTTTTTTGTATGTCACATAGATGTAGTTTACATCACATCTCTCGTCTTTTTTAGGTATTTATTTTATTTTATTTATTTTAAAGGAAAACCTTAATTTAAGATGGCATAAAAGTTATTAAATAAATTAATTTATTTTTAAATAACATTGTAGATGTGATCAAAATCATTATTTTTATACATTTTTTTCAAAATTCTTATGTAGTACGCACTTTTTAGAATAAATTTGGATTTAGTATACAAAAATGTGTAGAAGACTATTCTTTTCCAGAGAACAACAAATGTCTAATTTTGTAGATCAATGTTATTGAAAAATATGACTTACAATCATCTTTTTATTTCTTACAAGAACTTATTGATTTAGATTTCTGATTTTGGTTTGTCACGAAATGGAATATACGTGATAAGTAATACAGCAGGCAAAGTTCGCCAGCTCCCAATACGTTGGATGTCACCAGAAGCTATACGTGATCATGCTTTTTCTTCAAAAAGTGATGTCTGGTCGTTCAGTATTGTTCTTTGGGAGATTGGAACTCTGGGTTCTTTTCCATATGCCAATGTACAAGATGAGGAGTTGTTACATTATTTAACTCAGGGCAAATGTCGGTTAACTTGTCCTAATAGTATTTCTTGTGATATATATAAAATTATGTGCTCTTGTTGGAATACCATGCCGCAAGATAGGCCCAGTTTTGCACAACTTGTTTTAGATTTGCAAACACTAAAAGAACCTTCACACTCAATACATGAAGCAAGCAATCCTTGTTATATGTTATTATCACACCAATGTAATTTAGAATCATTTGATAAATATGTATGTATGCATGTGTATAATAATATAAAAACAAACTACAAACATTAGCTTAGAGTAAATTATAAAATATTTTAATTTTAGGTCAAATATTATATATCTCCAATCTTAAAAAGAAAGACAGATTTTAATAAGAATCCTCATAATCCTCATACCTAAAAAATTTTCATTTTATGGAATTATGTAATAATTGATATTGTAAAATAACAATTGCTAGCAATTTAGTTCAGATAAATTACTGTATATAAAAATACAACAGCAAAAAAAATAAAATTTGAACAGTATACAGTAGATTCCGATTAATTGGGACTAACCGATTAACTTTATTTGTAACAAATTTTGAAAAATAAATTGTTTTAAAATCAAATTTGGAATAATTAGGGCAGCCGTTTAATTATCAAAGTATTACGGTTTCCAGATATGTCCCAATTAATTGGAATCGACTGTATATAACAGGATTAACTCGAAAGAAAATATCTGGTTTAACTACTAATAATGGTTCGTCGAAGAATGTGAAATAAGATAAATTAAAAAATAAAATTTGCAAAAGAAGTTCAATTACTAGTTTACATTCTCTAAAAGTACGTGCATGTTATAATACGTATTTTTGTTCAATATTTACTGAATTAAGTTGCAAATGTAGATGAATAATAATGCTAAAATAATACAATAAATTTTCCTTTAGAGCAATATTTTCTTATGTATCTAGAAACAGTCAGGCTGATTTCAATCATATCTTTTGGTTCACTTACTTATAATTTTACTCTGTTATTGACGTATCGTATACAACCAGCACGAGATATCACAGAATAGGTTTGTTCTTTATTGCCGAACTTTCTGCACTAATGTACACTAATAACACCGAGCAGTGTGGCCAGATTCTAGACGCAGGAAGCAGAGAGAAGACTCTGGAAGCAGTGTTGCGATATGGGACCGGTTGTATGCGCATGTGCGGCTCTGCGCATGTGCGGTGATGGAGATCCAGTGCCGTTATATGTTAGGTCTGTTCTTTACAGCTGAACTGGCTGTACTAGTTCAGAGTTTATCTTTTTCCCTCCACATTGGAAGGAGAAAGATAAACTCTGAACTAGTGCAGCCAGTTCAGCTATAAAAAACAGACCTCTTGTGTGTTGACCATATGGCGGGATGTTTTGACATGAGAAGGTTAGGTGACTACAAATAAGGTAAGATTTATTTATTTACAAGCATGGAATCTACGAAGCCAACAGCTAAAAACCCATAGACTTATATA